ATCCCATATCTGACCTGTTTCACTGGTAAAGGTGAAGCATACCGAGGCACCACTGCTGTAACTGAATCTGGCAAAACATGCCAGAGCTGGTCGGCTCATACTCCACACCAACACGACCGCACGCCATACAACAATCCTGGAAAGTAAGAGCTACTGTAACTGAATATTTTGTGGCATGTTGCCTTTATTGTTTGGTTTGCCTGTGTTTATCATTATTACTGTCTATTGTTTGTCAGAGGCCTGGTTAACAACTACTGTCGTAACCCCGACAATGAGAGGAGACCCTGGTGTTACACTACTGACCCTGACAGCCGCTGGGAGTACTGCGATGTGCCACGCTGTGAGGATGGAGTCGGACCAGGTATAACAGTAATCAGTGGTGCTGATTTTCACCAGTTTACAATAACATTAATGACTTTGATGATGAAGGTAGATTCAAAGATCACACTCGTCAATAAAGATGAGTGCAGTGCTCAATCAAAACATGCCTGTTCGTAATGGGCCGATTTTTAGGATGTATTCATCCAATGTTCAACTTAGTCCGCAGAATCCTGATGCCCTGCCCCCACTCCTGAACAGAGCCACCGAGACTGATCACGTCTTTATTCAAAGTTTATTTTTGAGGGTGTTCCATTTCCACATTGCACCAAATATGACATTGCACATTACTGAGCCATCTGTCTTGATTTTCTGTGTTATTGTTGTCTTTGTTTAAAAATATATGAATATACATGTGTTTTCCACAATAGGCCGATACAGCAGAGCGGTAGTGGTGAGGTGCTCTATCTGCAGCTTACAAACTTTTAACATAACACACCTACTTACCAAAACATTGCTTAATTATTTTATGATGTAACTATTAATGATAAACATGTTTGGTATACAATTCAACCGTGTTGTGCTCAACTGTGTGTGCAAATGCACACACACACACACACACACACACACACACACACACACACACATCTACATTTGACATTTGTCATTCATACAGTACAGGCCAAAAGTTTGGACACACCTTCTCATTCAATGCGTTTTCTTTATTTTCATGACTATTTACATTGTAGATTCTCACTGAAGGCATCAAAACTATGAATGAACACATGTGGAGTTATGTACTTAACAAAAAAAGGTGAAATAACTGAAAACATGTTTTATATTCTAGTTTCTTCAAAATAGCCACCCTTTGCTCTGATTACTGCTTTGCACACTCTTGGCATTCTCTCCATGAGCTTCAAGAGGTAGTCACCTGAAATGGTTT